TTCGCCTTATCATTGCCAACTAACTCGGTCTGCTGTGTATGGCAGATTGGATATTGGAGTTCTTGTACATACGTACTAGATTTTCAGAATGTACACAGGTAGGCAATTCTCCCCGTCTAGGCAAATGTAGCCCGAAACTATGAGCACGTACATATGAAGTAAAACGCCATGTCGTTGGTGGTTCACAGCCCGGACGGATGGATGAAGCTTTCCTAATATAAAAGAACAACAAACACGAGCCGGCAGAACAGTCAAGTAGAGCGGAACGAGGACAATAAACATTGACATTTCAATATTCATTCGATATATGCATACAGAAGTATTTGTAGCTTTAGTACATACGACGACAAGGTACATTTTGTATGTAACTTGGCATCGCCAACTTATGTATAACGGCGACGACTAGAGTTTGAGGAAATCCAGCAGCAGGAGCAGGAGCAGCACATCAGAGGGAAATATATAACACAACGAACCATCATCATTTACCGGTACGACATTTTTGTTAGTCATTTGGGCAATTCTGTTAAAGCAAGGTAACGTGGGTGGGTGTACAAATTCTTGGCGTGGGAGGGAAGGTGAAAGCTCATAGAACAGAAATCAGTGTCTCTCCTAGCAGCAGTACTTTTTTTATCTACTCTTTTTTTGCGAGTAGAGAAAGTACTACAAACTACGTAGTACACAAATCGGTAAAACCAACTACAACTATTTTTATGACATGATTAGTGTGTTACCTAAATTTATCCAACAAATAATACCGACAGATATATGGGGCCCTCCTCCCCCAAAAAAATACTGCAACTCTTCCACCAGTATGCAACAACTTTCGAAATACTTGTGTACAAGAGCAAGAAGAAATCACCACCACTGCGTCGATACGATCCATCTCAACACTTTTTTTTACAATGCAATGAACCCAAACAAAGTTTGAAGCTTTAAATGACACGCTAACAGAACTTGAGCCATAAAATTTGCTCTCTCTCTCTGTCTTCATCGCCAACCTGTGTGAGAAACTATCTCATTCACCAAATAGCACAACAGTTCGTTTGGGACGGGATTACTAGATTGGACGACGACGACGAAATAGCTGAGAAGGGACACAGTTCACACACTTGCAAGAAATATATATACCGAATGGTGAACCCGGCAGAGAGAACGTGGGAACCATGGACAAATGACGACAACGATGGGGATTGAACCATTGGAAATTCGAAACCATCCAGATTCCAGGAGATTCTAGTATTCATTTTCTATGCCCTTTTACACGACTACGACCCTATTCGTTATTGGGTAATAGATACAAAGTTCCTCTACGTACAAGTCCCTGTTCGATTTCCTTCCTCTCTCTCTCTCCGACTCAGCGAACTTAAGCCAAATTGCTTTCTCTCTACATTTCTCTTCATCCATGGTGTACTCCTACTTGTTCCAGTACCACCACCGCCAGCACTCAGCCCTCAACTCGACTGCTTTTGTATACATTAAGGTGAAATACTTTAAATATCGGCGGCATTGTGTTATATCGTCGTACTTATATTTATAAGAGTGAACTCTCTTCATCAGCCCATTAGAATTAGAGTTGGAGAATTGCCTATTACCAATTTAGCCGATTCTCTCTCTCCCCGTATAACTTGGCGTAAAGGCTTTCAACGAAATTACCAAGTTTTCAGACGAGACAAATAATTCGACTAGTAGATTTTCTGTAGATCATGATGATCATCATTTCCATTGTGCAAAAGGTGCACCTGTTTGGTCTCACTGGAGGATTTTGAATTCTCTCATTCATTCTCATTTCACAGTGCTAATACTACTCGCTGGACTGCCAAATGCCCCAATGCGCCGTGCCATAGTCTACTCTCCAAGATAAGTGGAATTACTTACGCTGGATGACTTTTTACCGTTCGGAGCAGCAGAGATTGAAATGAGAAGTTATTCTAAGCTGATTTAAGATTCAGTTTCAAAAAGCACCAGCAAGCAACACACAGTTCCTACGGTTCACATTCTACGAAATCTTTCCATTAGAAGAAGCTGGGAGGGAAAGTCGCTGGATAATAATGTAAACATCCTGCTATTCTCAACCTTAATTATACATACATATACTCACATTATTTATAATTTCAATCTTTATTACGCTCTCTGATAACTAGACATGATGGGTAGTCAAAATTGTAATAAAAATTCGCAATTAAAGTCAACAATTAAAATCGTGACGCAAGTTGGTTTCATGCATAGCTTGCGATTTGGTCCGAGTTACGAGACCTTAAATAAATGGATAAGCAAACAATAAAGAAAGGTAGGCTTTTTGGTGGTATGGTCGGCTGGTTGGTGTTTTAAATAATTACAGAGGCAGAAAACTATACACTTACATTTTCATGTTCTTTTAGCGTGTTCTTCTTGCCATTATTATGGAATGATATTATAAAATTTATGTCATTTTATGTGTGGTGATATGCGACACAGAAAACTTTCACATTATTATTTTTTCCAACAGTTCCAGTCCGTCGTTTAAGTAATCTTTGCTATGCATATATATATACACAGCAAAAAAACTTTTTTTATACATATATTCGTGTAATAACTAGAGCCTTGTTGTGCTTGATTATTTCATGTCTAGTTTTGTTTTCTGGCCCAGCGCAGACTTATTGAACACTAATAATAAGCTAACGAAATGGTCAACCAAAACCAACAAGTAAAAATAATAAGGGACAATACACAAACCTCGAAAAGTGGGGCATGCCACAGTCACAAATTAGTGAGAACAATGATGATGCATGCAATCAAAATCAGAAAATGTCATGCGGTCAATCAATATCATTTGGTCAGGTAGGTAAGTAAGTAAGGTAGCCAGTTGAGGGTGTCATGTCACAAATTTATATGCAGCCAGATTCGTCCAAGTTTCGTGTTATGCTAAAACTGGAAACTTGTGTAGAAATGATTAATTCAGGTACAAAATTTTCCCGTACGATTGCCTATCGCTAAAAGCTAGTCGCATCGTCGTCGTCACCAACCACTATTATACTTTTATATACTCCCTCTTAATAAAAATAGGAATGGAACATGAAGAAGAGCTGATGAGAATGGAATGAAAAGACACATGAACAAACATTCCTGAATCGAATGGGTCGGTGTGTAAGCGCAACAGGAAAAGTGAACAAATCATGAGAAATGGGCAAAGTGGACAATGTTTATCGACTTGGACAAGTGGAAATGTCGTGTCGATCGATCAGCGACCAAACTAAATTTTATCTCCTGAAATAACATGGTGCCAGTGTCAACAAACGCTACTGTATGAAGTAAAAATGCTCTTCCAGAGAAACCCACCCTCTTCCTTGACACTTATCTGGGATGCTCCATTACACATAATACAATTTTTTGACGATTGGGATAAGCCGTGACACGAGGATGGAGATGGGAATCTACAAGAGGTTGTTGAATATGTATGTATGTTTGTTGTTGTATGGCGAAAGGTGGGCGATGGACTACTTTGATTGCATGTCAAGATATGTCCAGACCAGAGACCGGGTGGTCATTGGAGGACACAAACAAAAGAAATTGTATAATCGATAAAATAAACGGACAAAGTAGAAAATGTAGAGGATTTAAGAGGAAACTTGAAGTTTTCTTTTTGCAGGACATGTCTTAGTTTAGTTGGAAAATGGCATATCTCCTGTCCTCAATCTGCAAATTGGTACGAGTTTCTATCTCTTCTTAAGTGAATGACAGATAGTTATAGGGGCATATGCTAATTATGATAATTACAAATTATTACACAGCATTGGTTGGTGAAGATTAATTATTTAACAAAACTCTATTTATATCGTATGAATTTCTACTGTCTTCGTGCCGAACGTAATCAAAAAGTTTATCTTACCTCACCGTTACATCACAAATGATCACCTCTATTGTTGGTCACCTCTTTTAGACAATGGAAGTTTGTATTTAGTTTAGATTTAAATTTCACAAAAGCTCATCAAACTTTCTCCAGTTGTCCAGTCACAAATTATTATTATGATATAAATCCTGTCTACTTTCGACTTATTGATAGTGAATCGTATGGAAGGTGTGCGTGCATATAAATTTAGACTTAACTGGAAATAAAAACTTACATTTAATTATTGCAAACAATTAAAGCAGAACAATAACACGTTTAGTGAAAACTAATTCCTATGAAGAGGGGAAGAGTGAGTAAAGCGGAATAACAATTTGGGAGACGGGCTTAAAAATCGCGCCGTGCTGACTCGATGGGAAGGGAATCGTTCGTTATCTGCGTATCTCAAGATAAAAGAATTTCTTCATTTTTCGTTTTTCGGCGTTGTTGTGCAGCAATTTTGCATTTTTTGCAGAATTTGTTTGTAAATCAATTGTGCAGCAGACTTTCACCAACTTTCACCATCTGAATAACTCGATTTCTAAAATGGGATTATCCATCATTTTTGCGAGAAAACTGCAAAAACCGGAAATTTCATAGTGGAAGGGATGCAGGATAGAGATTGAAGTAGGCAAAAATTTAGTAAAATCTATTCCAAAACATTAATGTAATGCCAAAATAATGAAACTACATTAATAATGATGCTATAATCTTAATGAAGGACAAACATGATATTTTATAATTCAAAATATACTGAATTCTGATAATTCTAAAGTCTTTTTTTGCGATTTTAATCCTTTTAAAATTTGTGATTTTTTTAAATTTTCACATTTCCCTATCTTTTTTCTCACCTAAAAACCGCATTTTTTTACTCCAATTAAAAACAAACTATCAAAATCCTAAAGTTTCACATTAACCAGTGAGACCATTTTCATTTCACGAAATGCATCCTATTTAAGCCTCAGTATATGAATATGTGACAAGTGATATCCGGGGACAGGTGAGACTAACTGTCACCTCGACTTTCTTTCTCCAGGTCACTCTCATCGTCTCAAGTTGTTACATTACTTTGCGTCACACAGCGTTCTTAAAACGAGATGAATTTGCCTATTAGAAAGCAGTAAATCTGTTGCCTTACCTGGTTTTTGGAGATAAGATTGGATGGTAGTTTTGGTCGTGGTGTGTGATTGCGATATTGTTGAGGAGGAAAAGAGAAAACACCGTGGTCGTCCGGTGTGTGAGTGTGGGGTTGGTTTGGATTTGGTTGGATTTGGTTGAGGGTGAACAAGCGGCTGAGGATTTGAGGGAGAAAAAACTGGGAAACAACTCAGCGACAAGAAAGCTCCTTTCACTGCAAATGCCAACTCAAGACTGGCAAAAGTAGACCCGAATCCGGGAATCCGCATCACTACACCAACTAACCTTCCAACCCAGCCATATTCGCGCACCTGCTCCTTTCACCGGTCGTCCTCTCAAAATCTTGGTAAAAAAATACAATTTTCATTTCATCCATAAAATATTTTCGAAATTTTGAAGAAATATTTATTTTTTCGGGAATAAAAAAGAAGTCCTCAACTCTCCTTATCATCATACATATTTATGTAGTAATCGTGAAGTGGAATCTTATTTAGTACTGTCATGCATATTTAATCCAGCTCAGAAATAATATTGACTTTCCATTAAAAAGTGTCTAAATTATGTAATAGAGATCCGACATGAGTCTAGCGAATGATGATCCCTCTCTCAGTTCAAGGGCCTGAGAGATGAAATGAGATTTTATCGAAATCATGCAAGATTAAGATTTGAGTAGATATGTTACGTGTAAGAATAATTATAACGAAAAGTGAGTCTCTCTCTCTCTCTCATTTTATAATTTGCATCGTCTCCTCCCCTGTCTTTCTGAGTCTGGGTGGTGCTCGGTGTGGTTGGCGAGGTGGTTGATGAAAATGAAAACGTCCTGTTTGTTTTATCTGTCTGATTAATGTTCCAAATTACAGTTGTGTTGTGTAACCGTGCCCATTGCGTTGCATTACGAGTACAACCAACTGATTCATTCTTCTCCTTCTTGTTCTTCTCCCTTCTTGGTCATGTCATTGTGTTGCAATGTTAAGAATGTAATATTCTCGGAGCCAAGTCGCTTCACCATTTTAACACGGAGATTAAAATCAAGAAGCCGCAGTAACGTCTGTGAGTTGGTAAAGTGTATCATTCATTTGTTTGGTTTGTCTCCATTTCTTTCTTCTTTTTCTTGCACCACCGTTTGAACATATTTAATACAATTCTGCACCCAAAGTCATAACAGGAGCAGGATAAGTCTGACTCTGTAATGGAATGATAGACTGTTGTGCTTTTTTTCTCTCGGGAGGAAGGAAGATCATTTTGTAAGTTTTGTTGTTCTGGTTCCGGAGTTATAATCCATTCAGTTTTTTCTGTGGTTTTAAATTCTTCCTACTTCTGCGTAGTAAAGTATGCACAGGAGAAGGATGGATTTTTATTCTTATGTCATCCGGTGAATGTGTAGTAATGTAATTTGGTGATTTTTGGCTGAAAAAATAAAGGCGAGAAGCCAAAATTCTTGTCATTTGTGTCCTTAATCAAGTCGAATTATTTATACTCTTTCTCTCTCTCTAATCGTGTAGCATTAAGTAAGTCGGAGGGGAGACAATGCAGCAATCCTACGCGATTTCCTCGTCATCATTATCATCGTCTCTCTCGGATATGTTCACAGATTCGTAGATATTCCTTCTTCCTTCTCACTAATACCGTTGTCGAAGATGTGACAAGTACGTGTTTTTTGTTACACGGCAGTGTCTGCAGTGTGGTCTTGGTGGTGGTGGTGGTGTGATGAGCCAACAAAATCAGACCAGACTTTCCTTTATCACGGAGAGAAGTAAGAAGTTGGTGTTAGATTTAAATGAGGAAACAAGTGCCGTTTTGACAAACTTTTCTTTTCGTCCGTGGAAGAGACGAATTGTTTTGGCAGAATTTGTGCATGTACTGCTGTGCACGGTTTTTTAGTTTATATGTATGTACATATTTATGTGCATACATTCGGGTTCAGTCACAGTGCTAATTGCACTGTACTATCTGAAAAATCCGTTAGTTTTGGTTAGCTGGTGATGTGTGCTGGGAAGGAACACAAAAGAGGAAGAAGAAGATGAAGATGCATGCAGATTATTTTTACCGTTTAGTACAAATCCAAAGTATGTTTGAGACGAAGAATGAGACGAGAGAACAGAGCATGACATCGAGAAAAAGTTATTAATCGACGTATTTAGGTCAACTTGATTTTTGTTACAATTCCACGCGACGATTTTACCTACTTTAATTCCGTGCACATAAAAACCGGACTTTAATCCTAAAATTAGACATGTACGTATATACACTTTAGTAATTTTTGCTCCAAAGCTGTTGAACTTTTGTCTCACAAAACTTTCCGCTATTTCAAAAACCCTGCGCCTGCACTACGAACGAAGACGGTGCACAATTAAAGTCGCGCTTTAAACTCTTCTCAAGGCCCAAATCTGCACAAAGGAGCCGAACATACGGGGATATGTAACCGGACAAAAAATGAGATTACTTTTGGCACTATGTTCGGATGAGTGACATGACACGAGACAAATATAACATAAATATTTGTGTCGGCTCCGAACAACGCAAATTAAAATGGTGACAGTGACAAGCTCATGTCGTTTATGTGCATAGTCTCCTCGAACATCTCATCCCTTCCCTTGGAGAAGAATGTTGTATGTCACACGTCACATTTTGCCCGCTTGGCTGGTTAAGTTACATGAATAACAGAGAGAAGGAGAATATTATTATTGTGGGGCGGAACAACAATTTGACAAGGGAAAGAAAAAAAAAAGACTAATTATCTCCACTTGTTAGATAAGTTGATGACATGTGTCACTTCGACAGTTTTTAGGGAGGAATGTGACATACTTTTTACAACAAAAATTTAGATTTGATGTAGAAAAATTCCTAGCGAATAGTTCCTCTTTAGAAAAATGTTAATTTTGCTCAGTCATTTTTCAAAGATGGAAATTCTCACACGGTTTCAAGATTGATTACTTGTTGGGCTCCGTCCGAGTTGAATTTATTTCGTGTACAGCTCATTTGCCTTTTCTTTCAGTAAAGAATTATTGTTTGCATTGTTGTATGTTGCTCTCTGGAGAGTAAAATAAATTAGTTGGACTTCACACACTTCTTTGGTGGAGGGATGGATGGATACAAGTGTGAATACCTCACTGTGGGAGGTTTCGTACCATTTCTTCCCAGTTCATGATCCCACTTCACTCAGACTGATTGACTTTCCGGGTATTTGCACCGAGTGGTTTTTTAATGAAAACAATGCTCCCCGTTCTCAGAGAAAGTGGAAGAAAGATGAGAACAAAACAAGGAAACAGGATTGGCATAATTAGGAACAGGAGACGGGGGCAAGTGAAAAGTAATAAATTTGAATGGTCCGTCTTGTTACTTAATGATCTCTCATTATTAGTGTTGTATGTATGTACTTGTATTGATCTTTCGGTGCATAATGGAGAGGAAATTCCTCACTAGATTTCTTGCATTTTATTCTAGTCTGACTTTTACCTTGGGGTTTTCTTTAGTTTTTTACCAACTTTTTTTAGCCCATCTGCATTCCGTGTATCTGGTTTAAATTTAATCTATGGATGGATTGAATGAATCATGCACAATCGAGTGAGGTGGCTCTCGATCCTGTGTAATAATAATAATAAAAGAAGTCTGTGAGACCCCCGTAGTCAATAATTTTTAATTAGTGGATGTAACAAGACATGTTCGGTTAGACATAAAAGTCACCTGAGTAAACTTAATTAAAATTACTGGCTCTTATTTCGCATTAAAGTTGCTGCTACATTGTATCCTACTTCTACTTCTGAGAAGAGGTGGATGGAGGAGGAAGGTGGTGGTGGAAATGTAAAGAGAAAGCTGGATAACCACATCTCACAGCTTGAGTTGAGACGGTGGAGGCCTGTTTTGTTATTCGGATGGATGGATAATGTCGTGGTGGTGGGATCGGTTAGCCATTCGCCTTTATAGTCTATTTAGCCCTTAGAGTTCTTCGTAGTGTAGCAGTTTTTGGCCTTCTTAATTAATTAGATTATCGAGATCTTTTATCCTCATCCTCATCGTGGTGGGGCTGGAAGAGAAAAGGCTGAAAAAATGTATCGTAACGTAACGCAACGCAACGTATCTTCTAGTTTCAGCAAGAAACTATTTAATTTTATGAAATTTTGTTCTCTTTTTCCTACCCAGGTGTTTCATCCAATCTAATTAGAGCCGTACATTCAACTTTTGCGCTGTTAAGTAATTAAGGAATAAGGCTGAGAATAAGTTTGAAACTCTGTCGGAGAACATCTTCCATGACGTATGTACACATTTAAGAGGAACAATTTAGTCGGATTTAATTTTTAAATGTTGTTGTGATCCTCTTCATATTTATGATTTGAATAAGTGCATGATTTTTTGCGAGGTTATCTAACTTATTGCGTCTTATTTCTGGGATGGATCTTATTTTGAATCTTTTATGCGAAAGCTTTAAATGGGCTTTTCGATTCTTACCGAGCGAGAGGAAAAACATAAGGTAAAAGTCGCCTCGGAGAATTCAATTCGATGGAAAACGCACTTCCAGAATTCAATCGTAATACGAAGAGAGAGAGAGAAAATGTTAAAAAGAAACGATCCATTTGAAAAAAAGTAGTATTTTTATGTCCCATTTTCAACCTCTGTCCCTAATGCAGGATTTCATTTGATGATGCATGCATACAATAGGAAGAAGTTCTTTATCAAAAAAGTTGAGTATTCTTCTCCAGAAAAGAGAAATGTATGTACGTAAGTCATGTTATGATTTCGGACCAATTTTGAAAACGTACCAAAGATGATGGAGCAATATGTACATAAATTGTGTAATAAGAATTAGAGGAAAAAGCAGTATGCCTAACTTTCCTGGTAAAGTTTACTTTTGTGTATGGGAAAAATATTGGTAAATGTTAAATGTTAATGATTTCCACTATTAAAAGTTGCTTATGATGCTGATTTTCCTTTCTTGGTAAAGTTTATAAAAGGGAAGAATATTATTATTTGGTATCTTTTTTTGTGAGGAGGAAGTATTGATTTCTTCTTGTCCAATTTACGACGATTTTTCCTCTGTCATTCTATTTCCCGTTGAGTTTTATGACCAGGTTTGTTATAAATAAGCCGAAAGGGAAGAAATAAAATGAAATATAAATGTCGTTTTAATGCCATCCTATAATCGGATTCGTCCTAAATCGTTTTTATAATCATTCGATTTTTCCCTTTCTTTCGTCGGGAGTGACTTTATTTTGGGAGAAATGAGAAAGTTGAAAAAATGAGAGTTCTTTGAGGAAGGTGTTGGGAATTAATAAGTCTGTTTTGAGTCTTTGCGTTTGTCAATTCGATTTTGATTTTTCGATTTTTCGAGAATGCGAGGAAACAATTGAATCAAATTACTAACTGAACAGCTAGAAATCGAGATTAAGAGTGTATTTGCATACTAGTTATCTTTAACATATGAGGATTTACTGCTACGTATATTTCTTTGATTTGTTATTCAGTGAATATCAAGTAAACATTTTGTACCAAAATTGATAATTACTGAAATTAATACGCACAAAAATATTATTCTGAATTCTGATACTCATAAATTATTATGAAATACGCAATTATAAATCATTACGTATCCGTCATATCGAATAACTTCTTTCATATATTGATTTTATTATTATTCAGTCCACTTCTGCGTGCTTATCATACAGATAACATGTAATGCAGATACCTACTTTTTTTTAATGAAATGCAATTATTTACCTCCGGCATATTTTTATGAAATAAGGCCAACTAATTAATATTATTAATTAGCCAATAAATTTAACTATTTTTCATCATCTTCCTCCCTCACACGTCTCTGAAAACTGAACCCTCCTACTTGAACTCATCTAATAAAATAAAGGTTTAATTAACTCCCGTAATCTCACTGAAGAGGAAATGTACCGGATTTGAATTCCTTTTGAACTGCGTCAAATGAGAAGAATCGCAATGACGACTCCACTCATTGCACAGAGCAGGAGGCATATTATCACTTGAAATTGGATTTAAATTTCATTTGGGACACGGAGAAAATTATATGAGGCAAAAGGCTACCAAGCAAACCAAGCCTCGTTCCCACTTCCTGTTTCAAACGTGCAATTTCCTCTCAGAAATCTCAATCGAGCTCTAATTACGCACTGTTCGCTCCTCTGTCTTCTCTTTAATTGCGAGTTTCATCATTTTCACTGCACCAACCAACGGACTTTCACCTTCCACTGTCCACCGCTTTCTCCAATATAAAGTTGACCTTTTGGGGCAAAATTGTACTATTTTGCGAAAACATGGAAATTACGTCTCATTATTATTATTACCGTATTTCGTATTTTGCAGAATTTCAGTCCTACTTTGCACAACACTGATGTATTTCGCCATGTAATTTAAGTATCTACTTTCTCTCTCTCCTAATTTGATCCCCTTGTTAAAACTGATGGGTAAGCAGGTGGATGAAATTACGAATTCAAGAAGTAATCCGCCATCTTTATCTACCTTTCTCCGTTCCCAATTCAAGGAGAGGCGAGGGGGCTTAAATAAGCTCATCATGCAGTACAGCAACATCATCCCTCTCTTCCCGAAAACAGATGAAAGTCTTCTTCTTTTCCACCACCTTTCTCCTCGTGCATAGGAGAAATCTATAGTGAATCTTGACTTTCACCGTTCAAAATTCAAGTAGCACATACTATACTCACGAGCTAGAAGTAGAGCTAGAGCAAGCAAATTAAATCCTTTTGTGAATTTAATCTCTTATTATGGCAGGATTCAGGAAAGTCTTCTTCTTCGTCGTCGTCGTCTCGAGTTGGTCGGACGCAATAATAAAGTCGTGATGCTAATGAAACTAAAGGGCAGAATGGATCACTCATTCAACGGAGTCCTTTACGAATTTATTTATGATCTGGCTGTTGAATTGTCCATTAATTAAGAAGGCTGGCTACATAGTCGACCCACACAAGGAAGAAAATGCTGCATGGACAACCCGGCGATATTGTTTGGTAGTTGTGCTAACTAACCATCCTCCCCGTAAATAAGGGCGACTTATCTTCTTTGCATTCACCACGGAGAAGGAGGAGGAGAGAAAGTGGGGAAAGTGGTATTCAGGTGAAAAAAAGAGGAAATAGATGAGACGGCGACGACGACGAGTACATAATCCAACACCCGAGAGGATTTCTTTTATTTACTGCCTACATACACACCATTGACTTGTTCGTCTTTGCTATTATTAGCTTTTGAGAGAGCGGAGGTGTTCTTCATCACAAAATCAATTTTACTTTTTGATGAGACTGACTCTCTCTCTCTTTTCACTTCCCTGCGATCCAGTTTATTTACGTGGTTGTTGAACGGCACGAGGTATTTAGATGGAAAAACGGTCATCAATTTATTTATCAAGTTTTTAGTTGGGTTTAGGGAGGGAAAAGGAGTTTAGTTTGGTGGTGAAAAACGTGACCATCAAAGTTATGAATTTATGAACCACAAAATTTAGATTTAAAATATTTGTGAATTATAGTTCCCTCTAATTTCCTTTAATTACCCGTAAATTTTGTCTCTTTCTCTTTTTTCTTCAACAAGTGTGCATTTACGTCACGATTAATAGCAATCATGTCGTGATCCGTCCGTGGAGTAAATAAATACGTCTCGACAGAAGTCCTCTGATGAGAAGGGAAAGAGGGCGAGATGGATTTAATTCCCTGAAGAGTTTAGTTTCTCATCTTGCCAAACAACAGAAGAAGAAATAGAAAAAGGAAACTTTCTCCTGCCCTCATAATCACCTTGATCCCGTTGAAGCAGTATAAAAATCGCCCCCTTACAGATAATATCGACCCAATAATAACACTTTTTTGACCAACGCTTAGATATTTTCTCAATAACTTTATTACTATTAAATATGACGATAATTAATTCTTAATTGTTTTTCCCACTATGCCGCAATTGCCCACAATGTCGACCCGTTTATCGTGGTGGTATTATCAATCAGGGTATCGTCCGCCTGCGACGCGACGGGATGACCACTCGCGACATGAATTAAGATGTAAGACCCTTGATAAGCAACGACTTGGAAGTGTTCCCATGCTTGAGGAGCTGGCGCCGTGGCAGAAAGTGGGACCGTTCCGGCCATATTTCCAGTCACGTATTGTTGCGTGTCCAAATTCTGAATGGTGTAGTAGGGCGAGGCCTCTGGGCTTTCTTCCACCTTGGCGAACGCCCATCTCGTCGCACCACCAACGTCGGGTGAAGTCGTCATCAGCGTGGGAGCTCCGGCCGTGGCGACGACGTATCTGGTGTTTTCGACGGACCGAATTGTCGCCGTGGGAGGGAGGTCGACGGGAGGAGCGTTGTCAGTGGGGACGAGACGGTACCTTCCGGCAGGAATGCCATTAGTGGAATTGGCATTGTTGATGAGTTGACCTTCTCCCGCAGAGGTGGTGACCTCGGCTCGGTTCACCATGGCGGTCAAGGTGTAAGTCTGATCGGCTTGAGGGGTCCATCTAAATACTTCGTAAGAGCCGACGGTTTCTCGAGCAGCGGTGATGGGCATGTCTCCATTGGGAGAAGCAGTGACGAACAGTTCGGAGGAGAGGACTTGGATGGTTCCACCACCTGAGTGGATTGAATTTTTGAAATTTGAGGGTAAAATTCTCAATTTGGAGGGACTTATTTTCTCAAATAGTTAGTTTACCTGGAGTGAATCCCAACACGAATTTGGACGCCAGGACATCTGCACTCGTAGTTGCGGCGAGATTTCCGTTTCCTTCAGCAGTGACGAACAGTCCTGTTGCGGCGTCTTGAATGGTGAAAAGTCCTTCTGGAGTTTGTTGAGCGGCGGAGCAGATATCCGCGCCCGAGGCTTGAGTGGCGACGAAGTAGAGCTGGGTAAATAAAATACGTAAAAAAAGTCAGAATTTTCAACACAGCCAGAAACTACACGTATAAGCTTACCTGATTTGAAGCCGAATTTCCCGTTCCCCAATCAAACAACCTTGAAGAGTAGGCATACGCTTCTTGCGGGTTGACTTTAGCATAGGCAGCGTAAATCACTGCAGATAGATACAAATATTACGTACAGATGCACATTTTTCGCCTAGTTATTTTATTTACTTACCCGATTTGAACGCATCTCCAATCGTGACATCGTCCAACTCTACTTGACAATAGGGGACGACACCCTCCATCCACTCCCGGTCGTAGGTAACTTGTCCTATCGGCGTTAATGGAAGGATTTGAATGGCAGCAATTTGCGTCCTCTGATCCCCCCAGAACAACCAGGCCCCCGTCTGCCAGTCCATCACGTTACCGACCGTGGTCAAATCTCGGAAGGGTTGTTCCGGATAGGGTGACGCGTCCGGGGCTCTGTTCGGGTACAGATGCCAGTACACTTGAGCCCCCTTGATTTCCATAGCCAAGAGGAATCTAGACCAGTCAATCAAGGCCTGGTTGTTGACGGCGTGGGCGAAAAGGAGGAGACCGTAGTAGCCGTTAATCGCTTCCCCGGAAGATTCCTGGTCGCGAGGTCCGGCACCGTTTGCAATTCCGGAGGCCCATGAGTGTCCTGCGAAAAAGTCCATGTGGCGGGTGACGGTGTGGTGGGGATCGTTGGGGGACGGGTTGCCAACGTCGCGAGCAACACTGGGAGAAAGTGAGAATAAAAAAATAGTTTAAGGGGTGATTTGAGAAAAGTGGGTGATAATTAGGATTAAAGTAATTACTGCATCATAAAGTCCATATTTTGATTGAGCCAGGCTGGGTCATACTTTCCAATGACGGCAGCTCCGTAGAGTAAATAACCGTAGTGAAAGTGGTGATCTGTACATAAATATGCAAATTAGTGAAGGAGCAATTAATTTTTTCACACCCATTTTTTAGTATTTTTTTACCATTGTAATACGCATTTCCAAAATCGACCCACGTATTGTTCCAGCCTTCCTTGTTAATGAATCCACCCCATCCCGTCTCGAACGCGGCGGCAGGTGTGTGCGCAGGGTCAAACCAATAGTTGCAACTTTCCTTCAAAATGTCGACAACTCTCGTGATGAGATCAGGGCGACCAATCTGTTCGGCGATCAGGGCGAGTCGTGACGCGCGACCGAAGGCTCCACCCCAAAAGTAAAAGTCTCCAGGAATCATGACCGTGAGTGAGTTGACTTCTGCCTCCAGAGTTTTGGTCAGCTCGGCCAGACACGAGGCATGGATTGGGGCTTCGGCGAACCAGGAGATCGTGGGAAGTTCGTACTGTTGGATCCATACATTTCCGAGAACGCCTCGCATGGGTCCCTTCAAAGTCAGGTATTCGATGTTAACAAACTGACCGCCTTGTAAAAGTTCGCGATGGTGAGGCCAACTAAGAATGAGGAGCTGGCTGGGATCACCGACAACGTCCCATGTCCAAGTCGTGGTAGCGACGTTTCCTGATGATTTTCAAAAATTTAAGTTATTTTATTTATTTATCAAAATTACTCTTCCCAAATTATTACCTTGCACGTTGTAACGGAAATCTAGCCCGGTGGCGTAAGTTGTAGAATAAGCATCCAACACTGCCTCTTGTCCTAAAGCTTTTACCTTGGACAGCCGAATAGTGGCGGACGTACCGGGTGGGGATGTAATCGTGGTGCCTGCCGCGGTAAGGTCGGCAGTACCCTCGACAACGTAGAGGGTGTAATATACCCCATTCTGCAAAGTTACGCGAGCTCGCTGACCTGAATTTTTGTGAACGTTATGTTATAACAAATAATATAATGGAGTAAATAATATTAAACTAAATATGTACCAGGTGTGACCCAAAGGAATTCAGTGATTGTTCCACCTCCAGAGGTGAGAACGATGCCAGCATTTCGGAAAACGAAGGTCATGTAGGGTGACCCCGGAATGAGGCAGGTGTCCATAGTTGCCCCTTGTCCATTGAAATATTGCAAACATACAGTTTGGGTATCCCAAGCAGTGGCTTTTCTGTTGTTCAAAGCGTTCGGAAGATCAGCGATACTTGCAGTCCAATCGACTTGGGTCGGGACTTTGACAGATGCTCCGTCAAACTCACGGTTGTCACCGATTCCGAATGTGAGACCGGTGTTTGAGGTTGCCGATTGGTAGGGGAAAGGTCCTGCGACGTTCCTAAATTGACAAATAACGTATATTTTAGTTAATTTCATGACGAATATGTATTCTTTTATAGTCTGATAACTTACGCATCTTGATTTGTCACAGTGAATCCACTCCACCCTAAAAACATTGAATAAATATGTGCACGGGTTTTTTATACATATATTTTGCAAACGGTGGGTCAAATAAAAGTGAGCTTACAAGCATCAGTGGGGAAAGGTGGCGAAAAGTCGACAAAAAATGGTCCTGGTGGAGCATCACATGCAATTTCACCCCCTGGCAGATTTGGGGGTGTGACTGCTATCGGGTCATCAGATGGACCTCCAGCCCCTACAAAATTTAAATCAATCTCCAAAATTATTCAAAACTTTTAACACTTTTCGAACTTAAAATCTTTTACTAACCGTTGCAACCCCGTAATAAAAATATGACCCCAAATACGAGTCCCACCTTCATTTTGATATGTATTTATAAATGTGAACTGCACTGTATGCAAATAAGCCCTGCCAGCTTTTTATACTCCATCGGATTAACCTTATCTTTTACCTCTTGTCAAAACTATTCATGCTTATCTTGCTCCAAAATAATTTTATATAGTGTTGTCAGTATCATTCCTGATAACTGAACAATTTTTGTAGTAGTCCCGTTTGCAATAATGACAGCATCACTTTAATCTTACTTATCGGATCTCATGACTGCATAAGTAATTCTTCATTTGAGGCGTACCTTTCGAGCCCCAAATGTTCACAATATTATCATCAATCCAGCACATGATTATTATGTATGCAAATCAATATCACACCCGATTTTGAGGTATCATCGTGACACAGATACTCCTGATGTCCACGGCGTGCAAAAAAAGAGGATGAGATGAGATCATGACATAATATTTGCATACGCAGTTATCCAAGTACCGCTAAACTAACTAGGTATAATCTCGTCCATAGAATTGCCGCAGTATTGACCGGGTTGAGACTTACATGGTTAAGTTACCACCCATACAAAAGGCGTTAGGACATGGTTTTGACGAATTCATACCTTAATTGCGGGATGGTTTTTAGTTGTAGAGATTTCTAACATTTTTTATGTGAAAGCCCATGTCTCAAACTATAGGTAAGCATATCTGGCTTCCGATTTTGTATACTCTGCGAAATGAGGCAAGGTGAAATTTGGAAAGGTGTCCTTTTTTAGTTTTCCAAACCAGTGTTCTTAAAAAATGGCATTGAACAAAAGATTTTTTTCTTAGGTCGTAATGCAAAAATCGCCTTTGCGACTATTATCAAGGGACTCAGCACGCTTTTCACTATATAAAACCACTTTTGTCTCATGCTTATCTATTAAGTTCGTTTTGTAATCTAATTTCATATTTGCCCTAATGAAATGCGCTCGTGCATGCAGCTCCCCCACTTTTAAGGCCCCCACATTTTATGGCTTTGATGCTAAAAATCCCTAACGTTGTTCGTGTCCAAGGTACAAATAGTATATTGCACTGTAAGTACTTTTTACAAAATTTTGATAAGTGGTTACACCCCCCGAACTGAGTTTCCTTCATACCCAATAAAATGTTTGGAAAAGTTATCTTCGATATAAACGTCGAACTTAAGAATTTTTTTAGCTAACCAAAACGCAGTAATTTTACTATTTTGTGATTTGTACCTTGTCGATAAAATAGTTTTGCGTCAGGGAACACAAAAAAGTTACTAAAATTTGTTTTCAACAAAATTTGACCATTAATTTTTCAAATTAGTTCACGAGTTTTTTAAGATTCAGCGTCAGCTGATTGACTCGGGTCTTTCTCCAAAACTGGTAACCCAAAATCTTAACTGTTTAATTTAATATTACTTAGGACACTTCTAGCTTTGCCCTCAGTTATCATTTGACCGAGAGGGTCCGCTTTCAAGGTCAGCAGGTCAATTTTCCTGTGCACGGTTCCGATTTATCACTTTTCATGAAAAAGTATCAGCGACGATGGAGGCCCAACGTTATGTAATTCATTGTGGATTCTTTTATTATTGCATGCAATAATTATCTAGGGTTGTAATATTAACAATCATTCACCTCTGACCTCTTAGGTTATCATGCTATATGAGTAATTCAGTTTGGAAAGTATTTTTTTGGCTCCTTCCAACTCTGGGGGCACTGGAGGGGGCATTTATAAAGCTATCTGCCTAAAATTTTAAATATATCTTTTTGAGAGTATTATCTTGCAACTGACCAAAAATCAGTTCAAAATTCAACTCCGCGACAGAGATATTCACCCGCGAATTCGTCAAAACCATGTCCTAACGCCTTTTGTACAAAATGTCGGGTGACACCACATTTGTCGGGATGGTTGCACCCTCGAGATTTCTCTGCCGTGATTTGTTGCACATGTTTCTTTCCCGTGTTAGATTGGCCATTCATTTATTTATTTTGTTGGCTGCCTGGCGTCGTTCGTTCCTCTGGTTCGTAGGCAATAAGTGAACTCGTGGAATTTAAAAAGGCTTAAAAATGAGAGTATTAAAAAGCATAAAGGAACAATGCCCACGGGGAAGAAGGAGCCTGCTCCTTTCTTCCTTTGAGATCCCCACGAGAAGAAGAAGACTTCCTTTCCATCTCTCATTCCAATTCAACTTATCCTTCTTTCTCCAAGTTGGATTGGGAATAAAATAGCGTTGTGGGTTGGTTTTGGTTTCCAGCTTGTTAGTTAGCTCGAGTCTCGGTGGAAATAAATGTGGGGCTGCTTCTCTTCTCTTCTGGGTCGCTCTCTATTTCTTCTTCTTACAAAAGTAAATCTTCAATCGTAGCCTAACACAAAAAATAATGTGGAGTAAGTGGTTTGCGGGTTGTATTTGTGTGTGTTAGCGGAGAAAATAATCAGCTATTTCAGACCTCGTCTATTTCCCCATTAAATTCTATATATATATTTTATATATTGGGTGATGATGATGATGCGATGCCTTATCCAAGCATAAGCTGGACTTATACGTAACCAACCACCTTTCTTTATTGTGTGATACCCGCCCGGAGTGAAAGTTGGTTTCGTGTAGAAATCTCTTTATTCAAGACGGAATTTCTGAAAAAAATACATGTTTTTTCTTGTTTGTCACTCATCTAGATAGATCTACCCCGGGAGGCGAGGCGAGAAGAGTGGAAGAAAAAATCCTAACTAAACCAATCCTTTTCATTTTTTCCCTTTGAAATTTTTTGGAAATCGTAAATTATCAAAATTGCCGTAAAAATTTCGACGTTATTATCCCGGATTGTGGTTGGTCAAATCAAATTCTATGTGGCTACATACATAAAAATATGGATAGACCCGCACTAAAAGTAAATCTTATCTGTATTTATTTTTGTATACATGTCCAGCAGGAGAGAGATTGATGCTGTGCGCTAAACAAAAGTTATACGTATGTAGCCAGTTGAAGGTGAAGTACGGTGTGCTTTAGTACATTCTTTTTTGCCTGTGTACGTGCCAGCATTAGATTAGATCTTCTTAAGTTTATACGTACTTTTACCTTTATGATTGTACTCCGTGAGAAGGAGGACACCTTTAGATTTCTGAAACTCGCATAAAACCGAAACCAACTACCGAAACGGAGTCATAATAATGTTTAAGCGGATTGGATCCCACTTTCTCTTTTCTGTTTCAACTTTCTCCCTTTCTGATCTGACTGTGAATCCAAAAAGCTGGAAAGGATTCTTCTCCCCTTCTATAAACCTTTTTTATTTCTTCAAACAAAAATTAAGATGTGGTTTATAAGTAGGTTTGTGTACCAAGGCTGCTGCCACCGGGAGACATTAAATTATCAAATATTTATCCGGCTACAACTTTCTCTTTGATATATAACAACTTTTTTATGAAGAATGTACCAAAGAGGGAGAATTTTAAGTCGTATTTGCTTAGAAATTGTGGGTAAATAAGACAGTTTTAAACGGGCAGATGTTAAGTAGTTGAATCGAATCGGGTAGTATTTATTTATTATTTTCTGTTTGATCTTGTTGAATCAACATCTGTTCGAAATTAGTGAAAGGAAAGGAGAGAAATTGATAAGTTTTTCGGGGAGGTCAGAAAATAGAGAAAGTTTAAGGGAAGAGAAAATAAGTATATTTTGCATCATTAAGTAATCAGCTCATTTTTCCGAGGGTCATGTATGTACTCGTACATCGGTGAGGATTAGTTTGGTTGGTGGAGACAAAGTCAGAATTCTTGTCCAAAAAGTAAACCTTGCCCACCTGGTAGATAGACTTGGGAAGAAATTGATTTAGATTTAGGGAAGAGAAATGACAGGAGCAGAAGCTCATTTCTTTTATTATATCACTTCTTCTATGATCCCTTCTTTTCTGTTGTATTTTACACTTCCACCCGTTCTCCCGACCGAATAAGTCTCCGATTTTTATATATTTTTTCTTTACTCCGTCACACAGGGAGACGTATTGGATAGTGTTTTTCCTCTCCTTGAGAAAGAAGCGAGAGCGAGAAGAAGAAGACAGAGATTCGTATAATTTATCTTCCTTGGTCTGATTATACAAAAAAGAAGTCAGATTCAATCCCTTCTTCCTCACAGTTATATGTTCACTAACTGTCTCACCGGCTGGGGAGGAAATGAAGAAGAATAAGCGTTAGCAGAGGAGCTGTGTATTATTATTATTATTACGACCACAATAACCAAAAAGAGAGAAATATCGATTTCATAATATTCGTGAAAAGGTAGAAAAAGAAGACAAAATCAGCTTTAAACCGACTGGTTGGATTTAGATTTAGAACAGGACGGGATTTGGATTTATTTAAAATTGAGCGTGTTGAGAAATGGCATTTTTTTCTTTCTCGTTACAAACACGTGCATATAGTGAGACAAGGAGAAAGTGGATTTTTTTGGTGGGGAGAAATGGTTTATTTAAGAGTTTTATGGGCGGTTGGCGTTATTATTATTATTGTTTTTGACTTTTGCAGGTAAGAAGATTTGGGGGGGGGGAGAAGAGAATATAAAAATTATTATGGCAGGGGGAATATGCAGGAAGTTTGTGAACTAAATTGTAAGAATTTAAGGCGTGGAGAAAGTTTAAAAGCATATTTTTTTGTTGCATTTTGTGCCTAAAACAAGTCACAAATCAGTTCAAACGTGTAGACGCTAATGGAAAAGTGGGACGAATATTTTCATTTCCCGTCTGATACACTCCCCACAAAAACACAAATGTTTATTATAAATGGAAAAAAATAATAAATCAAAAAGTGTTCATTTTGCGACTACTATGCATTCCTCGTCCGTCGACTGCCTGCATATGTAGCTCGTCCCACTAAAAGAACTCTATTTTACACGATTTAATCCCTTTTTTCCAGAATGGAATTACGATCGCAGAATGAAAAAATGCAGCTGCACTGTTTTTATTGTCTTCGCACTCTTGTTGTTCCGCCTCTTTATCCAAAAATCCTGTCGTTGTGCTAAAAATCTCACAAACCTTTTCTTTTCTTCTTACACATTATACGAAATAAAGACATAGCCAGCATTCAGCGTCTGCATTCTCCAATCTCCA